AGTTGGGTCAGAGTGTTAAAGGGAGCTAGGTCAGGCAAAAGCTATATCTAGGCATGTAAAAGCAAAGGTTTCTTAGTGCCTCTGCAGTTCACCTACATGCTGCTTCTAGGGGTTGCATGTCTCATTAGCATGGTAAATCTCCACCCTTGAGCAAGACTTCTAGTGTTTAAATTAGGGAAAGGTTACATTAGGGACACTCTTGGGCCTTACTGTGCATGCACGGTGCTAGGGACAGTCCCTTGTTACTGGTATGCCTTCAGGGCTCCTTGGTGGTGACCAGTGGTACCTTAGGGGGAATATTCTTGTGAAACTTATCAGGCTCCAGCAGCTGACCTTTCTGACTAACTCAACAACAAGAACTTGCCCTCTTGTCTCACCTTCAACAACATAATGATTTGATAGATGCATATACTACATAATACTCACTGCAAAATGTTGAAACAGCTGAAGAAATTATTCCATTCTTGTTTTAACTAGAATAACTTAAACTTTTGAATTTTCCAGTCCTGTGTCAAACCTTCAGATAACCCTCTGATTATCCCCTGAAAGACTAAGGCTAGAATGTTCATCTATCTAGACCACACTACTAATGTGACCAGAACGTTTGGAGTCCATCCTCCAGACCATTTGGCATCCATCATTCAGACCACCTGACATCTGACTGATAACTGTCCTGGACCGATACTAAAGCTAGGAATTATTTGTTGTTCTCAGGAATGCACTTTTTACCATAAGAACCCTTAACCTTTCTTTTTTGTTCAAAATTCTTCTGGACTTTTGCTTAATTATGTATCTGGTTTGCAAATCCTAAGACCCTTGAAGGCATTTTTATTATTTATTTCTAGCCAAATCTCCAAACTCTTTTTGAGTTCATTCAACACACCCATCACCTGAGAAGAATATTTTTATTGTGTGTGAAAAAGGCAATGTAATAAATCCAACCAAAAGTAACCTTACAGGGTGATTATAAATTCCTATCTGGGCATGTCGTGGTGGGTAGTCATGCTCTATACATATAAATTCTTTAGTGAAAGGTTTATCTTTGCCTTGTGCATCCAGGTTTACACACTTCTGAAATGCCAGAGTAATCTTCTTTTTCAGACCCTTCAGAAGCCTAAACGTCCTCAAGAGAACACATAATTGTAACTATCCTGTTATCTAATCCCTGCCTTGCTTCCTCTGCTTTCATGTTATCTTACCTACCTATGTTCCTTCCTTAATTCCAAATGCATATAAGAAACTGCAAACTGCCATTCTCCAAGGCAATTTTTTCAGTGTGTTGAGATCTTGTTTTTAGGAGTATCCTTTTTGGCTCAAATAAACTCAAATAAACACTTATACATGTGCTGGCTGGAAAATTACTGCTTGGCTATCGCCCATGAACATAACATTCTAACAATAAACTTTCTGCTTCTGTACCCTCTGCTTGCACAACTGACCTGTTGTGCAAGCAGAGGGTACAGAAGCAGAAAGTTTATTGTTAGAATGTTATGTTCATGGGCGATAGCCAAGCAGTAATTGACAGTAAAAAGAAGAAAAATAGACTTGTGTGTTCAAACAGAATGAAGAATGGAGTTTAGGGCTTAAAAACCCTGTACCTCTACATTTTGGGGCTGCTTAATTTGGGGTCCGTGTACCCCTGGCAGACCCAGCTGGCTGAATAAAGAGTGCATTTCCTATAACTCACTGGTTTCTGGTGGTCCATGTGTCTATCGGGGGCTGGCAGCTACAACATATAAATTCTCAATAGGTTTGGATAATATGTTGACATTATCATCAGTCTGGAGGTCGATGCCAAAATGGATCTGTGCAAACAAAACTATCAAAATAACCCTGACCTTCAATTAGTTTCTCTGTATATTTCCTAATCATTGTCCCTCAGTTTGTTTACTGTCCCTAGTCCAAGCTCCTTTGTCTTGTCACACCCTCACAATTTTTCATTTTTCGTGTAAACATATATGTAAGCTTTGGGTCTAATTGCTTCTTCAGGTCTTCATTTTCCTTCTGAAGTTTCCTGTGTGCAGATAAAAATATTAAATAAACATGTAAGCTTTTCTCTTATTAATCTGTCTTATGTCTGTTTAATTCTTAGGCAGCCACAGAACCTAAAAGGGTACAAGGAAGTTTCTCCTCTCTTACAACATATATATAAGAAAGTCACAGGGACTGATTTGACACTCCTTGCTCTTTTTGAGGGGGAGGATATCTTTTTTTTTTTTTAATGGTCCATCTTCCATATTGTCCTTTAGGCTAGTTTTAAATATTCTGTAATAATGAAGCTGTTAATTTCCCTTTGTAATTTTTTTTTTCCTGAAAAGTCACAGACTCAGTTTTCTCAAAGAAGACTACCAATTTTGGTTTTCACTAGCAGAATAATTTGTCATTTTTCTTCTTAAAAATAGTGGTTGTTCTGATTATAAAAAATAATAAAATAAATAATTTTTCTTTTCTTTATAGAAGCAAAAAAACCCCAGCTGTGATCTCAAGTTTAAATTCACAATGGAGTCTAGAGTATTTTTTTTTCCCCTTTAGAATTTGAAAGCTTCACCTTCATTTGTTTGTTGCTTTAGATACATCTTCAATTCTCATTGGCTATTGGCTTGCATATCACAATGGAGGCTAAGTCTGTCCCTAGAGCAAGTGGATATTATCATTTCAGCAACATATTGTGTGTCATTAAAGCCTCATTCTGAGATAGTCATAACTGGATTACAAATGTTACCTAGTGACGCACTCTCCTTGTCAACAACAACACTTGATAATTGTAGTGGTGACTACATTAGACTATCTGTGCCACAGGGCACTGTTGGGTCACTGGTGACTAGTATGGGGCACAGAGGAGAGGGGACTCTTCTCTTGGTGTTGCAGAAGATGATGGACTCTACCCTTCTGTGGCGAAGTGTGACACCATAAGAATAGAGAGAACAGATTCTAAAGATCCTCAGCTGACACTGGAGGATATAGAATTTTACTGAATTTCCCCTTGGTTTTATAACAGCTAGTCAAAAGACAACAAATAAATATTAGTAGCTAAAGTTCAGTTGGGGAGAGGAGCCTGAAAACTGCTTTGGAACATTTGATGGTGGCATTTAGGTAAGGGATATGGGTGAAGGCAGCCATGGACGTTGGACTTGGGAATGGTCCCTCAGGTCAGGGTTGGTGGCAACATCCTCATTAGCTGAAAAAGTATGTGCATTTTGAGGAAATGATGTGGTCTGTTTCATTATTGTATCAGCAATTAAGAGTAGTGATCTGGGAATGAGATTAAGGTGACAGAAAGCAATAGGTAAAATCTTGGTGGTTAATGTTAAGGCTCTTTCTCACATGTTTTAGCACAATGGAGTGTTCTAAAGCACTTTGGAGTAAAGCACTTTGTTTATCTAAGCAAAATCAATGAAAGATTTGAAATCTTTGAAAAGAATTTATATCTTTGAACAATCTAATTCTTTTTCTAATTGTCTTTTTTTGTATAGCTCTGACATCTTTAGTAGAGCATTTATTAAGCTTGAGGTTCTTGTTCTCATCTTTGCCCTATGTGAGTTGGTTTATTTGGTAAAATTTTCTATTCGAAGATGCTTACATTCTGTTTCTGATGTGTTGTGAAAGTATATGATTGTTTTCCTTGATTTCAGTTTCAAAAGCTTTATGTCTTTATCTGAAAATAGATGTGGTTATTGTTATGTCTTTTACAAATTACGTAAACTTGAAAAAGGTAATTAATATTTTTAATGTAAACTACTCCTTGAGGGGAATTAGTTCTTCTAAATTTACTTGCCATAATTTTATACTAATTTTGTCTCTTTCAAGTGGCCTTAGTTCTAAAATACCAGTATTAAGACCATCTTATTCCTGCTATTTGTGATTTTAGTAACTTTAATCATTTCTTAGAATTTACATTTCCAGACTGAAGAGTTCTCTATTTTTTTCTCCCTCATATACCAGACTCCAGGCCTTATACTGATATGAGATCTATGAAGCTTTTTCTAGCATCTTTTGTTTTCTCTTGCTATGGTCCAGTGGAAGGACAAGCAGCTATGGGCATAGGTGTTCTTGAAAGCTTATAGAATTCATTTAGTCAATAACAAGAGTTTCAACAATAAAGGCATTTGCCTCTTCAAAGTTTAATAAATTCCTCTCAGAATTTATTAAAGAATGTGAAGAAAACATTTTTCTATGCCAGTATGTAACTACACCTGTTCTTGGTTTCTAAGTTAGAGCTCAATTGAAACCTCACATGTAGGAAATCATTCATTCTTAGTAAATGGACACGGCAGTTCATGCTGACATTTCTGATCTGCTATTACATTAAAAACATTCTAAGAATCGTTCTGAATTATATGTATTTTAAGAGTGGGCTCATGTTCGTTTTGTAGAAGTAGTAGGGCATAAATCATAATACCTTAATAAGGTGATAAAAGGCAAATGCTTTTTTTCGAGGGGGGGATAAGATTTGGCTAATGCTTTCGGATTTATTTCCGAAGCTTTCACAGATGACGTCTAACAGTATATTGGCCGTTGGCAGGAACACCTAGCCTAAATCCTTAAATTTTGGCTTATGCCCAAGGTGTGTAACTCGTATCCATAGAGATTGGAAAAAGCGTCCACGAACGAGGGCGGCTCCCAACTCTCTT